AGGAGCACCTCCTCGCGGCCTGCGGGCTGGAACCTGGCGCACCTCTGGGCCAAGCCTGGCGGCCGCCTCGGCGCGCGCGCGAAGAGCAGCAGGAGGAGGAGTAGGAGGAGAAGAGGGGGAGGAGGACGTGGCCTCCGTAGCCATTTTGGCTCAAGGTGGGAGCAGGTCCCATTTCTGGGCGGGCAGCCTTGCGATCCCGCGTCTCGATCGCTGGCAGACACCACACGATCCCCGCGTCCACTCTTTGGCGTGGGCTCTCGTCCTCCCGGCTTCGCACTCGTTGTGGGTGCTGTCCCTCTGGAGACAGCGAGCGATGTGCGCGACGATCATTGTCGACAGCCAGTCCCAGCCTGCTGACCAGCTCCAGGTCATTCCGTCCTCCTTCCCTCAGGCTCGTGCTGAGGTGCATCTCGGTGGTCCCCCTGGTCCTGGGACTCCTCCCGCCGGTGGCCCCCAGCGTGCTCTTCCCTCAGGCGATGGTTTCGACACGTCAGACTTGCGATCCGCGTGCAAGAACAAGCATCCTGACCAGGTGGCGGGCGCAATCTGCATGATCTTTTTGCCGTCTCTCGCGTTTTTCATTTTCCCAACCATCCGTCGGGTTCTTGTTGTTTCGAATAGAGCATCGCGGGCGCGCCCTCTCCCCCTCCTGCCTCCCTCCTGTTCTTTTTCACTCCTTCTCCTGTTCAAGTTCTCTTGCCACCTAAGTCCTATTGGGCTCCCGCCTGCGATTTGCGCCTCCCACCTCGCCGCCGCTGGAGGGCTGCGACGTGCGAAGCTGTCGCTATGTTCGAGGGCTGCTGGGGTGCCCACACGGGGATTCCCATGGTGCCTGGCCCTTATCGGCCGGAAAGGTATGCGACACCCAAAGAAGGTGGCCGGGAACGTGCCCGATCTTGTGAATGAACATCTATTGTGACCGACGTTGAACATCGCTTTGGTTTATTCCAGAATTTCGGTCACATTCTGGAGCGTTCGGAGAACATCGGGCGCCAGTTTGTTGTTTCAATCGGGCAGATGCCCTGGCGCATTTTCGGTCATTCCACCCCTTCATGGTAGAGACGCGGATGCGTGATGATTCAGAACAGAACTCACCATCCTTGGGGGGCTGTGAATTGCGAAGCTGCCGTCATTTTCGAGGGCTGCTGGTGGGCCAGGTCAGTGACGCCAAACGGGGATTGAGACTAGACCGCGCCATCCCTGGGGGCTGCGAGCTGCGAGTCTGTCGGCACATTCGAGGGCTGCAGGGGTACGCCATGCGGGGATTCATAGTATACCTCGCCATACGTGGTGGCTGCGAACTGCGAAACTGTCGCAGCTTTCAAGGGCTGGTGGTGGGCCCAGCGCAGTGGCGCAATACGGGGATTCATATTCGATTTTAGTTTGCGTAGCGAACCTCGGCTCTTCGGTGGCCACTATTCATGACAATGTGGGCCAGAGAATTGGGTCACGTGATGCTCATGGATTGGATACTTCGTAAATTAATTTGCAGCAGCAGCCGTTTTACGCTCTCGAGGGTAATTCGCACCGTTCCTTGCTCCACTCCTGAGGCCCGCGGTGGACAGCGCGACGAACGGAGTTGCAGGGTGGTCGTCGCGCCTTCCCCTTACGCCTTCTCTTCCTCCCGTTTCTCCACCTCCTGCTCCTTTTCCTCCTCCTCCTCCTCCTCCTACTGCTCCTTCTCCTCCTCCTCCTCCTCCTTCTCCTCCTCCTCCTCCTCCTCCGCCTCCTCCTCCTCTTCCGCATCTTCCCCGTACGCCCCTTCCTCCTCCTCCTCCTCCTCCTCCTCCGTTTCCGCCTCCTCCTCCTCCTCCTCTTCCGCGCCTTCCGTTTACGCCCCTTCCTCCTCCTCCTCCTCCTCCTCCTCCTCCTCCTCCTCCTCCTCCTCCTAAAAAGGACGCTTTAAAAAATCCTCCCCTGCGCTCTCCTCCCCCCCCTCCCTCCCTCCTCCTCCTCCTTCCTCCTCCTCCTCCTCCTCCTCCTCCACTCCTACTCCTTCTCTCCCTCCTCCACCTCCTCCTCATCTTACTCTTCCTCCTCCTCCTCCTCCTCCTCCTCCTCATCCTCATCCTCATCCTCATCCTCATCCTCATCCTCATCCTCATCCTCCTCCTGCCGGAGGACATGCGGCCGCAGCCGTTTCCTCATCCTTCCTCTGTTTCCTTCTTCCCTCCCCTCCCCCTCCGTCGTCCCTTCGAAGATGAAGAAGCATCATAAAAAAAACAAGAAGACACATATAAGGCATGACGCACAAACTCTCGCCAGTCCGCGCGGATTTCTTGGGTCTGCGCCTTGGCCCCCCGGCGGCGCCTCAGGCGCCGCCCCTGGGGCGCTCCGCGCGGCGGGGAGGGGGGTTCAGCGCAGATCTAAGAAATCCGCGCGGACCTCCGCAAGTTTATGTGTATGCCGTTTTCTTCTTCCTTCATCCCTTTCCCTCCCCTCCCTCCCCCCCTTGCCCTCCCTCCCGCCCTACTCCCCTCTCGCCCCGAAGCCCGAAGCCCCAAGGTCGGAGTATGCCAGCGGCGACGCCTCCGCGGATAGCCTGCTGGCGACGCTCTTGCGGGTGCCCCGCACCGCCCCTTGGGAGGGCTGGGGCGGGAGCGGAGGGTGGGGCGGTGGTGGGGAGGGGGGCGGTTCGGCAGCGGGGAGGGGAGGGGCGCATCCCGCCTTCAGTGTGTTGGCGTCGACTGGCGTTTGGTAACCGATGGGGCAGCGCCGATTCAGCGCCGATCAGCGTTGCTTCGGCGTCGATTGAGCGTCGATTGGCGTCGATTTGCAAGGGCCAGCAATATGGTATGGGAGGACCCCGGAGAGGGGGGCGGGGAGGATGGGATGGGGGGGGAGGAGGTCCTGCTGCTGCTCATGGCGGTAGATGGGTACTCCCTGCTGCCATTGGCCCCGTCCTGCGGTTGCCGTGTGGCACAGCAAGAGGGGGCCATTCCGAAAACGGGCCGATCTCTGGTGTTGGGGCCGGCGGGGCACGAGGGGGGGGGGGGAGAAACGGACGGGGGCCAGGAGAAGGTCCTCTCCTTCCTCCTACGCCCTCCCCCTCCGCTGCGGACAGGGAAGAGAGCCGGCAAGGCGAAGCCCGGCCAGGCTGCCGGTCGGCCAGTTGAGCTCGGCCAGGCGGAATTCGGGAGGGGAAAACACACACAGGCACAATGGAGCGTCGATCCCCAGGAGAAGATCTGAAGATATGGGCAGTGGGGGAAGACGAAAACCCAGAGAATAGGAAAAACTATTGGGAATCCTGGGAGTTGTGTCTGCTTAATTGATCGGTTCGCTCATTCCGCCAGCCCGTATTGCCTCGCCGCTTGGGGGCTGTGTTGGGGCCTCTTTGGGGGACTCTGGGAGGTAGTTTTGAGGCCTCTTTGGGGCCGTGTTGGGGCCTCTTGGGGCCTCGTGGGGGCTTCTTGGGGCCTCTTAGGGTGCCTCTTGGGGGCCCCTTGGGGCTTTTTGGGGGGCCTCTTGGGGCCTCCTGGGGGCCTCTTGCTGAAGGCTGGCTCTTGGGCTGTCTTGGGGCCATATTGGGCAGTCTTGGGGCTCTCTTGGAGGCGCCTTGGAGCGGTCTTGGGGCCCTCTTCGGCCGTCTTGGAGCGTTGGGAAGCCGAAAAGACGAGAGACGTCGCACATGCGAAACATATGTTTTCCGTCGTTGGGGCCTCTTGAGACGCTTCTTCGAGGCCTCTTCGGGCGTCTTGGGGGCGTCTGCGGCCGTCTGGAGGCTATCTTGGGCGTCTTGGACCGATCGGTCGGCGACTCGGAGCCCTCTTGGACCGTCTTGGGGACTCTTGGGACCCTCTGGGAGTGCTCTTGGGTGCCTGAACGCGCAGAAGGAACAACCATCTCTGAGTCGGACTGGCCGGGGTACTTGTCGTCTGGGGGTCCCCAGGGGCCGCCACGCGCGCACGATCTAGAAATACTGTTAACCGGTTACCGGGGATCTTAGTACGCCTCTGGTCCGTTGGGCTGGCGAATTTGTGTGGTTTCCAGGGCCCCTTCATGAACTTGGCCTGACCCGAATTCAGTTTGGCCGGGTTCAGCCTGGCCGAGTTCAGCCTGGCCGAGTGCAGCTTGGCCGAGTTGAGCCTGGCCGAGTTCAGCACGGCCGAGTTGTTCTTGGCCGAAGTGTTCGGGAGTGCTGATTGTGGGTTGCATGTTGCGTAGCGGGGTGTCCGGTCGCACACCATGGGAGCTCTGTGTGTCCTTATGTTTCCACATTCCGTGTGCACCAGCCCACGCCAGCGTCTGGCAATCGATTCGAAGGCGCCGTTTAGCGTCGACAGAGCGCAGATGAGCGTCGATGATAATCAACTTGCGACGAATCGCAAGAGCCAGCAACATGGAACGGAAGGCTCCCAGGAGTTGCCACCGAATGGGGCGCCTCTCCGTTGGGGCCGCGCCGCCCTCGCTTCCGGCAGCTTGTTCCGGCCGGCCACCTTCCGGTTTGCCCGTTTTCGGTGCCCGAGGCCGCCTGGTGCTGGAGGTTCTCGCCGCCCGGGGTCATCGAGAGCAAGAGAACCCATGGTCGCATGTACACGTGGTTCATGTCTAATTTTCCGGAAGTTCCTTGATTTTTTGGGGGCCAGGATCCTTCCATTTCTAATTGTTCTATTCTGGGCCTCTTCCTGGCCACTAGGGGGCCAGGAACAATCAGAAACGAGCGCAATTAGAAAGGAGCACGATCAGATATGAACGACGTGTAGGTCCCTGTCTCCGCATGAGGGGTAATTTGATCTGGGCGGCTTGGCCTGATACATCTCCAGAAAAGACCCGATATTCCCAGTGTTTTGGGTCTCCTGCCTTAGGTCCGCTCCCAAAGGGTTGGGGGTCCTGTTGCTAATCACGAGGGCTCCACCCGCGTTCTCCCCTCGCGGCCGCCCGCTTCCGTCCCGCTCGTCTATAGTGTGCCCCTGCCGGGCACGGCCCGCCTGCTGTTCACCCGCGTGGGCGCTCGTCCTTGCCGCTGACAAACGAGCCGCGCATCCGCCAAATTCAACCGCTTTCTCGCTCGTGCCGTACCTCACTGGCCTCTTCCCGTTGCCTTTTGACCTCGCCTTCGGCGTGTGGCGGCATCAAGTCTTTGGCGCCAGCTGTTGTAGCATGTCGTCCGTGGCGCCAGCTGTGGTAGCAGGTCGTCCGCTCCCATCTTCCCCCATCCAGATAAAATCAAGTTGCGCATCGGGGTCTTTGCGTAGCCATATTTGGCTCAAGCAGGTTTAGTCCAATCTTTGGTTCTGGGAGGCCCTCGTCGCCACCGCTGGCTTCGCGTCGAAAGGCAGGCCAGAACGCAGCCCGGGAGAGGCCGGGGAGTAGCGGTATTGGTATGTTTTGAATTCCCCAGCGTAGGTCTCGCCCTGGCTGCAAGAGGAGGGGGAGGAAAGGAGTTCGCAAAGGAGGGGGAGCATGGGGAGGACGAACGAGACACCGCATGCCGAATCTGAGTGATTGCGCGTTGGATGGCTTATGGGGAGGCGAAGAAATGGAATAGCGAAGAGAGCTGATCAAATACGACGGAGACAGGTTACAGGAGGGAAGAGGAGGCACATGCCGAGGAGGGGATGGGAGGGGAAGAGGAGGATGCAGGAGGTTGGATGGGGTGTAAGGTAGCACGGAGGAGGAGGAGGAGGGCCCCGCCCGTCCATCCACACCCTCCCTCCAGCAGCACAAAAACCACACAGCTCAACCTGGCACGGGGACCGGAACGGACGGCGCTCGCGCGCGGCCCGCTCTCGACGACGTTGCGACGGGAGAGCCGCATGGGCCGACGAGCGCGGCGAAGACGACGCATGCGTCACACTTCCGCAAATTGTTGACGCTTCGCGTATCCCCACCGGCCGGAATCGTTCCTACTTTCCGCTTGAACTTGTGGGAACGCTCGCGCCATTTTGGCTGCGTTGGTCTCCTCGGGCCTGTCTTAGGCTCCCTGGATGTACCTCTGCACGTTCTCAGGGGTTGTTCAGCAAGCTCCCTGGATTGCATGTCGGCTTCACGGTGCTCATCTGGCTCCCTGGATGCCCTCTGCACGCCCGTTCTGGGGCCCGCAGGCTCCTGGACTGCACGTAGGCTCTGACGCCTTAGGACGCTGCTGCCTGCCGCCTGACCGCGGCCCCGCGCGCGCCCGCCGCTAGTCGCGGCCGCAGCCCGCCCGCGACTGCCCGCCGCTGGCGCTTCCGCCTGCGGCTGTAAAAAAAACAATATATCCCCACCGGCGTGACTTGGCCTAGCTCACGCGAGCACGGGCCCGCATCGCCAGCCCGGGCATTTGAGCGGCTGGGTACGTCGGCCTAAGGCCCGCCCCTTCGTTCCATAGCCACAGCTGGGCCTTCAGCGTTGCTGGTCCATCTCTGCGGCAGGTCGCGGCCCACGTTGCATTCCCCTCTGGATGTGGGTCACCGCTATGGCGTGTTGCGACTTTTCTTTCACGGCGCACCGTGACTTAGCCCGTGCGACGCTGGCTGAAATAATCCACGCGCGCGGTGGGATTTGGCCTGGTTCTCGAGCTTGGGCCCGCCTCGCCCGCCCGGGCGTCCGAGCGCTTGGGTACGTCGGCCTAAGGCCCGGCCCATCGTTCCACCCGACGCGTCTTTGGTGTGGCCCCCCCCCCCCCATTGGCAAGCCGACGACGGCTCCTTCGCGGGCGTCGATCTCGGGCACGGTCCGTCCGCATGGGCTCACCTACACGGGGTGCTGTCGGCGGGAAGGCACACGCCCCTCTCTGTGGCCGTGCTACGGTGCCGTACATACTGGTGACGTGCATCGGTCCATGAGCCTCAGCTGCTCAGTGATTGAGGGTTCCTGGCCCCCGCAGGCTTCCGGCGTTGGCTCTTGGCCCGCTGGTACTTCTCTCGCCCGTTCGTGCACCCCCGCGTTGGATTTTGGCCCGCGGGTAATTTTCTCGCTTGGTCCCTCTCGGCTCGCTTCGCCTTCGCTGCTCTCCGCCCCTGCTTCCCCCTCCGGGTTCTCCCCCGGTCTTTCGCTGGCCTGCGCTTCGGGAGCTGGCGCCACTGTGCGACCTTCCGCTGCCGTTGTCCCGCTCCGGCTAATTTGCCCCTCTTAATTGTCTGGCGTGTTTACATACGCTGTTGCCTGCACTTCGGCGTTGGCTTTTGGCCCGCTGTTAATTATCTGGCGTGTCCCCCCATGCTCGATACTACCCGCTCTCTGGAATCGTCCATGGAGCCGCCGAACAAAAAGTATCCCCACCGGTTCCAGTGAGGGTCTTCCAGGCCACATCCTGGTGCCGCCCCCGCGCCATTGTGGCTGCGCTCCAACCTTGGTTGGTTAATTTGTGCATGCGCGCGCTCCTGGGCCTGGTTCCTGGCAGCCGCAGCCCGCACCCCCTCGCGCTGACTGGCCCGCTTAGGTGCTGCTTAGGCCGCCGGCTCGTCGGCGTTAGGCAAGTTGGCTCGCGCGTGGCCCGCTCGAACCTTACTTGCCGTCGGCGCGCTCGCGCGCGGCCGCGACTAAAAAGTAACCCCACCGGTCTGGGATGCCCGCGCGCTGGCCGCCTGGCGTTCCTGGCAGCTTTCACAGCCTGGCTTCAGCCCCTGGCACCCCTCA